CGTTTGAACTCATCTTTAGGAAGAAACACCAAGTTATACCAAGCACAGCGACTTTCTACATGATTGAATTACTTAGTTGTATATAGAGCTCGTTTCATTTCTGACCTGTTCAGTTTTGTTTGATTTTCTTTTACCTTAGATACATTTTCAACATGATTAATAATTTTGGGAGTTTCCTGATGATTTTCTTTTCTTTTCTTCCTCTGTTCTCGTTCTGCGTTTATTAAAGCATACCCCTCCATTGAGAAACGTTTCCAAATTCCCTTGGCCCGGCTCATTTTTTTAGGATCTTGGTGCACTTGTTCCTTGAAGTATATACTCCACTTGTTACATATAGTCTTAAAATTTGCTTTCCATTTATGGCAAGTTCCCCACAGCTCAGTGGGTAGAGCGTTGTACCGCAAATGCGGTCCCAGTCAGGATGGAAATCCTGTTCCGGGGAACTTGCTGTTTCTTTTTTTTTCTTTTTTTTTTTTTCCGATAATAATGTGGTCCTTTTTCCATTTTATACCAAGCTTATAAATAGTCCGGAATGTATTTTATATTGGTCTTTTCACATTATGTCATTAGCATAGGTTTTCTTCCAACTATTGCCAAGTTTACCCTTTTCCTACACTTTAAAGTAAGAAAAGCATAAATCGGAACGCTGCCGAATTATAACATAATTTAATAAAACAACAAGGCTTTTTTAGAAAATGTCATATTTTGGCCATATAGGTCATTTTTCCTTATACTTTGTGTGCAAGTTTTCATTGCAGTAAGTGCTCCACTTGTTACTAATAAGCTTAAAATTTCCCCGCAGCTCATTGGGTAGAGCATTGTAGCGCGACAGCGGTCCCAGTCAGGATGGAGATCCTGTTCCGTAGAGGCCGGTTTTTGTTTGTTTGTTTGTTTGCTTCTTCTTTTTTTTTTTATTTTTTATTTTTTTATTTTTAAGGATGATGGGGTCTTTTCCCATTTTATACTACGTTTATAAATAGTCTGGAGCGTCTTCGCATACTCGTCCATTAACTTTATTTTATTAGATTGGTCTTCCTTTCACTTATTGGAAAGTTTAGCCTTTCCCTACACTATTTAATCGAGGACTTGCATCAGAATACTGCTGAATTGAATATTATAAATCAAACAACTGAGTTTTTGTAGTAATGTCTTTCTTTGGTCAAAGAACTGAGTTTTCCACACAATCTTTGTGCACTTGCTCCTCGCAGTAGGTACTCCAGTGGTTACATTTATTCTTAAAATTTACTCTCCGTTCATGGCAAGTTCCCCGCAGCTCAGTGGGTAGAGCATTGTACCGCGAAAGCGGTCCCAGTTAGGATATAGATCCCGGAAGACTTGCCGTTTTTTCATTTTTTGTTTAATTTATTTTTTTAATTTTCTATTTCGATGATTCGTTTCTTTTCCCTTTTAATACCAAGCTTATAAATGATCTGGAGTGTCTTTGCATACCCATCTTTTAACTTAATTTCATGAGAATTTGTTTCCTTCCACTTATTGGCAATTTTACCTTTTTCCTACGCTTTGATAGTGAACAAAAACGTGCAGCGGAATACTGCTGAATTATGACATAGCTAAAAGCTTTTGAAATAATTTCATTTTTGGGTCAAATCACTTTGTTTTCCGCAGAATCGTAGTGCACTCGTTTCTAGAAGTATGTACTCTACTTGTTACATGTTATTGTAAAATTTACTTTTTAATTTAATTTAATTTTTTTACTTTTTTTTTTCAATCATTTGTTACTTTTCTTATTTTATACCAAGCTTACAAATAGGCTGGAGTGTCTTCGTATACTCCTCTTTTCTTATTTTATTAGACAAGGCTTCCTTCTACTTATCGGCAAGTTTACCCTTTTCCACACTATTAAAGTCATGACATGCATCGGAATGCCGCGGAATTTGAGCATTGTTAAATCAAACAACAAAGATTTTGGTGATGTTTTCGTTTTGTAGGTAAGTGGACGTTTTGAGTCAAAGAACTTTTAGTTCAGGATGTTTTCACATTTTATTTTAGCAGTGTGTAACCCACTTGTTACGTATGAAATTAGAATTTGTTGTCGCGTGAAGCCTCGTTTTAAAATATGCTATGAATTGAAAACTGTATTTAAAAAACCGACAGATAAAGGGCCTTTGCAAAACTCTAACATTCTCTTAAAAAGCGTGCACAAAACATAAACTAACCACACCTAAAATTGTGACGTATTTCCTGTCTGTTGGAGGTAAGTTTTTATCCTTATTCATGAACAATTTTCATCTTGCACCTCATTACAAACTGTTGGCGGCCACGTTAAGATGTCAGGCGAAGCAGTTCCTCTCCGTTGTGTATGGTTACTGCTCTGAACGTCAGAAATTAGGCGAAAGGTGAGTAACTAATTGCACATAGGACTTGTACGCTTAATTTAAGAGGAAACTAGTGGCAATGTACGAAGTTGAAGGACGCCATGTGCATTTGGGATTTCGTCAAGAAACATTTTGACCTTGCCAAAGCAACAAGTAGACTTGGGCAAAAATACTTTTATAACAGAGTTTTCATTTTTATTTCGTTCATGACCTTTAGAGCCAAAACTACGTTAAATATATATTGTCAGTTCAATCACAACTTGACTTCAGAGTCCATAAATCGTTTAATATTCTGGGATAGGACATCACACGCCATAAAACGTGGCGGGAATAATCAAGGACTTTCTTTCATCTTTCCCTACGTTTTCTTCTCCAAGCCAATCTAGTGTTGAAAGTCGCATTTAAAATGGATATAACTCGTAGAAGTAATGACATAATTTTAAGTTTGCTTGCCTGTATTGGACAAGAGGCTTGCCATGATGCTAAATATCTTTTTAATGTTTCATGCTCAGATATAACTCTCGGCGAAGACAGCAAGCTGAACAAGCAAAAGAAGTAGAATTTATAAGTGAGGAATAATGGATTGTCAAGTCAAGCAATGGGGAAACGTCGTAAAGATAAGAATATTGATTAACTAAATCGCTAAAATATCCGATAAGTTGGTGGTTTGAATACCAAGAGAGCATGCAAAATACTGAGTTTGTACAAACATTTTGCCAAAACTGCTGATTCGATGAAGAAAATAAGATGCAAAACTTGTGATGGAAGAAATTCTGCTAAAGTACAGAAAGAAATTATTGCGAAGTCAAATTGTTTTTGCCTGTATTGGACAAGAGGCTTTTCGCTAAAATTTTCGTGCATTTGTTGTCATGGTTCCCCAAAAAAATTGCAATTCAATTTCTCATATGTATAACCCACCATTTTAATCGGGTAGAAGGCGACATGAGGTCCTCGTAGCAAGTGGCACTGTAATCTAAGCTCTTAGTAATTGAGTACGATAGACTGACTTGTTGGATCGTCGTTACAGTAATCTACACTATGTCTTCGGCGGTAAGTTTGATCAATCTTCAGCGACCGAAAATTAGGACACCAAATTTAAATCGTTAATCTTTCAGTCTGCCAACAGTGCCACTTGATTTAGAAAATAGAATTAGTTAATATTTTCAATCTTAGTTCTCAAAAAGCAATTGCTGGTACACTTTGTTCACTGCGAGATTTTGGTACAGAAGGCGTTGTGGCAAACAAAACCTTAAGCGTAAAATTCATTTTCACTCACTTTTTTTAAAAAGCTTATGTACCCTGATATGATAACTGAGGCTTTGAAAAGTGGCTGATATCTGCGTATACTTTGTTAAAAGTACGAAAATTTGACATGAACACAACGTGAGAACACCATTACCAGTAATAATCGTTGAATAAAACTTGCACTGAGGGATAGGAAATTTAAATTCGAATTTTACATTAGAAGATCTCATATGAGGTGCGTCTCATGCAATTGACAGTCTCATTTACAAAAAGGAGAGGAGAAAACTCGCTTTCTTTTTCGATTAATTTAGAATTTCCACTCTGCAAATTTGAACCATCATCAAGAGTTATTTTCCTCGCGTGCATGGAAAATTAATGTTACTCAGTAGTTTTATATTTCTTTTTCAAGCACTCAAATAAAATAGATTATGCTTCAAAAACATTTTGACAGTTCTCCAAATTCGAAAACGAAAAGCAAACTTTACGATGTTAATTCGAAGTAGAACAATGGCCGAGGGAATTGTCCAAATTATCAAAAAATACGCATATTTTAAGCTAGGAAACAAACAAAAAAAATCGAACCGATCATGATTCGAAACATTAGACAAGATAGATAAACGAAAATTTTAATTCTAGGCGCTGCAAAAATTCATACAAGAACCAGCAGTTGAATTTTTGAGAACTATCATAATTATGTTAATTTAAGTTCCTAAACAGTGGAAGAAAAAGAAGCGAGACATCTTGCTGAAGCAAAAAGAATAAAGATTTCTAGGTTGGCAAGCAATGAACATTGCCATTCAAATGGGTGAATTCTCTCGAGATTGAAAAAATTATAGTATGTACGAAATTCTAAATGAGATTAACAGGATTTGGACGAAATGTTGAAAGACATCTTCGAGATGCAAAAATACAACATTCCAGTAATTGAATTTTCCTTAGGGAATTTTGATCGTAAATTCTCTCGTTTTAATCAAAAATTGTATTGTGCTTGCGCGGATTGTCTTCACCATCTTCCAAATTAAAGCAAAACTGACAACTACAGCTAAATTTAGATAGATGAGTTCTCAGAATTTTAACCCCCCCAAAAAACATTCCTAATACAGGCGGACGAATTGTATTGTCATTCTACCAAATTAAGGCTATAGAATTTTGACTAGAGACGATGTGTACCAAGAAAAAAGGAAATTTGTAATTGGCAACCAATGATACTGTCTATAGGGAATTTAAATTATTCGAACTCTTCCGGCATTTAAAAAATTCCAATGAATACGGCAGAACTGTCTTGACATTCTACCAAGCTTGGAGCAGAGACATTCCGCCTCTTTACTTCCACTGTGTAGGTATAATCTTAAGGAACATGGCGAGTCACTGTTATTGAAAATCAAAGTTGAGATACACTTTTTTAATCCCAATCAGTCTGTTTGGTGGATTTTGATTATAAATAATAGAAGGAATTTTATTTTGAATCAACTCCGGTTTTTTTTTTTGTGTGTTTGGTCAAACTTTCTGGCTTGTCTTGTTACTTAAGAACTAGTATATTAGTCCCCGACTTTTTTCGCCAGTTTCTTCGTGGTGTAAAGATTGAGCAATATACAGACTTTGCAATGAAAGTCTGGAGTTAGATTATTTTGTTTGTCAACTTTAATATTAAGCTTTTTTAAAAGCCACAGCCAATTTGATGTAACATCGGGAAGACTAAAATTACTGAAAAAGAAATCAAACTCTGTATTTTGCACCTTGACGAAACTGGCCAAGAAAATTGCAAACGAGCTCGATTTCGTACAAAACAGCAAAAACAAGAAAAATCGCTACAATTAGACAGTATTTCATGTTCGATAACGTCAAATAATTTATCGATGTACGAAGTTCTGTTTGTTCATCTGGCGGGAAATTTTAAGGGAAGCCATTTTGAATTTTTGTCTAGAACGTTGTCAGGGGAAACTCTGTGCAAATTGCTCCAAATTTTCCCGCCAAAAGTCTTAGTATATATTTGAACAAGTATTCCTTGACACCTTTTTGATTATTTAATGGCAATTCACTTGACTAATTAAATAATTGAAAAATACATGTTATTTTATTTCAAGAATGAAAATAAAGAAATAAAAAGTGAACATTGCAGTGTTTATTGACTTCTATTCAACAATAAAAATGACGCAAGAAAAAAGACAAGACAAATAAATTAATTTTATTCACAGCTCCAAAAAAAAAAAAAACCGGCGCATGCGTATTTTGGGCGCTCGTATTTTTTCTAAGTTTTTTGGCGGGAAAATTGTATCATTTGAAACGGATGTAACTTACAGAGCTTTAAAGTTTTCAATAGCAAATTGGTGCATGCGTATTTTTTCTAAGTTTTTTGGCGGGAAAATTAATTTTTTGACAGGGATTTGGATAGCAAAAAGTATGGCAAAAACTTCGATAAGAACTTGAGCTTCTCAATAAACGCTAACTCCATGAAAAGGGGAAACTTTGACTCGGCATTGTAATCTGATGACTGGTATAACTTGTAAATTTGCCTTCAAAAAATAAAAACGAAGGTGCACAGTAAACGCTTCAACTTGCTTTTGAATAAAATAAATGAAACACTTGAAATATGATATTTTCACGACTCACGAATTTTGTATTAAAATGAATCGTATGAACGATAGCAAACATACCTATTCCTCACAATAGTAGTTGGAAACATTCCTTCATGAATACGACTTAGAAGAACAATTTGCATTACTAATCTGACCTCAATACATGTTGACTATTTCCTTCTTCTATCCAAAAATTTATCCTCTAATTTCTCAAATTATTTCGAAAATTTCCCTTGATTTTGTTCCACAAAGGCAGATAATCCAAATCACCTTTCGTAAGCTCGTGTTTAGGAAACTCGATATTCATACAGAGAATCTTTCTTAATTATTATCGGGTCGGTTTGTCTTCGTAATTTCTGATGATCATGATGCTTAAACGATATGGAAAAAGTCTTCATTAAGGTTGGTTTTGAAGCATATTTCATTTGAAAAATCAAATCTTGCCAGTATATAGCAACAATTAAAACAAACTCCTGCTGGTAAGGTTGACAATTTTCACGAAAACGAATCGAACTGGCACGGTTTGGCACTCGTCAAAAATTTTCATTTCAAATTATCTCAAAAATTGGTTTGTAACTAGACACAATAATTGCGTTTAAAAGTGCACCTTCGTGGCCTATTACTGTGTATCTCAAAACCGACCTAATTAAGGATTCTACCTTTAAAACATGTACGCTTGATTTAAATCCGATCACATGTCCATTTTCCATTTTTATTTCAATCCAGTTCCTCGTCCATTTGCAAGTTTGATTTCAATCCACTTATGCAGTCATCCAGAGGCTTGATTTCAGTCCAGTCACTTGTCCCTTTGCCAGATATCAATCAAAGTGATAATCGAGGGAACCTTGCGCGGAATTCTAGCAGGGAAGAACAAAAACAAGAAAAACGCTGATCATAACCATTGTCGTTGTGACAGCAACAAAAGAATTCAGGGTTAAAATTCCCAATTTCAGTGAATGAAGAAGTTTACACCGTATAGTTTTACATGGGCATCCAATGTATGAAATAGATATGTCCTTGGTTGAGACTGTTTACGTTCGCTGAAACGATATTTCATTTGAACAAATCATCCTAAATTCTGCAGAAACGCGTTATCTATCTTCAATACTCAGTGAGGAAGACCTGACGTCCATTCCAATGTAATGAAACCCCCCTCCTCGTGTAGACTAAGAATGCTAATGAAGAAATGTGAGGGGATCAGTTGAAATTTGTTCGGAAAACTGAATCAAACTTGGTCAAGTTTGAGCTTAAAAAGGAGGAGTAGTCAAAATGAGGTCCTATAGTCGAAATTAGTTGCACAAACCCCAGTTTTTTAGTACATTAGCCACAATAGGTTATACAACTCTGTGAGGACACCGGTCAAATTACAGATCAAACGCACAAGGTATTAATCGTTCCTGATTTTCTGAGCAGATTTCACGAGACAACAAAAATTGCTTTCAGTTAGTGACATATTGCAATCAGTCGTTGTTCTTCTGTTTGAAATTGCTACGTAATAAACTACCCAAAGTATACTAGGAAACAGAGGACTATAACTCTCAATATCTTAAAATCATTCGGAAACAAAATTCTCAGTGGAATCAAGGAGAGGATTGATGAAAACAAAACATTTAGAAATATTTCATATCTCTACTTTTGGATTTTCTCTAAGAGCAAAATCTACCTACATTATCGCTGTTTTCACCGCATCAGCAAGAGGCCTGTGACAGAACTACAGACCTAAAGGCCTACTTTTAAAAGCATCGAAGATTTCCACCCACCGATTCCACTAGCTTTTTTCAATTTCCATATTCCTTGTCTCTTTTCCCCGTTTACACTAGGAATTTGGCGAAAGAAACAAGGTAAGATAAGTTTAAATTTACATGCAAAACAATTATCAAGCTCTCTGTATCACAATAAATCTTTTTAGTTACCTTTAAATGCAAAGAATCATAAGTCCGCCATGTTGGTTGCCATCTTGCGCGGTATCATTTTGCACTTTCGCTAAAGAATATGCGACCTTTTGGCGATGTTACCTTTGGAAGGTTCTCGCGTGGCTATCGTGGAAGCCTTCAACAAAATTTTCATTAATCCTGAAGCTTGTAAACCAAGTTAGGAGACCTAAACGGCCACAGAACTTTCCACAGCCGAGTAACACCACAGTAGCGTGTGCAGGTGGGAGAAAATCCTGAATGATAACAAGGACAAATTTGCAATTCAGATCGGTTAACCGTTTTACCCTTGAGCTCGCGAGATCGTGAAAGAATCAGTATTGAATAATTAATTCTCTACAAAAAAACGAGGCAATTTTCTATGCGTTTACTCTTTTGAAAGATTTCAAAACCAACGTTATCTTAAACATAAAAGAAGAGTGCTGTTTCAACGGGAGCTCGAACGAACCTCAGAAATCGTGCTATGGGCGTGTCTACTGAAGAGGGTTTGTCATTCTGGCTTAAGCTAAACAACTGCGTACCTACCCCTCCCCTAACCCAAAATTAATCATAACTTGTTATCGGGTAAGGGAAGGGGTAAGTCGGCAGTTTCTCAAATACTGACATTGTTCCTTCACTCGTCACTCTTCTGAGGAAGCACATGGAATTTTCGACTTAACTTTACCCTTGTACACTTCTTGAGAATTACAAAGCTTCGAAAAATTGTTGAGGCATCTTCCAGTTTAATGGTAATTTTGCAACTTGTGAACCTAATTCATTAATTCCCCCAACATGCACGCCCTCATCAATTTAAATTGATGCAAAGTTTGAAGTGGAATGGGTGTTATAATATGTCAAGATAATTTTTTGTCGATTGAGTTTTCCTTTAGGCAGAAAGCTCGTTTGAAAAAGCACCTTCGGTATAACAGAAAAAGATAGAGTAGAAATTATTGTCAAGAACCTATAACAAGGAAAATGAGAAGGTTCAATGAGAGTCTTGGAGGCCAGTTAGATGCCCAAGCAACAAAGCCAAGAGAATATCTGACAATACTGTAAAACAATAATATTTTATCATAAAACGGCAGACTAATCATTTAAAAAAATCATCTAATCATCTATAATCATCTAAAAAATTTCAGCCATCTTTGGTAAATTCTTATTTCACGTTCTCTTCAATACAGTCTCAGTATTGATTTGATCATTAAATTTTTATTTGATTGTATTTCTATAATTTCCATGTTGCCACATGAAAAGATTTATCTTTTATCTCATGAAAGAGTTTAAAATTGACTCAGATTTGAAATCGTGCACCCAAACAAAAAAGCATTAACCCTAGATCCCTGGTCCTAGATGAAGCTGGGCCCCCTAATATTGTCAACAGGTCTCTGAATACCTCAAAGAATCAAATGGCTAGGTGTTTATCAATAATAATTGGATGATTTCTTTAGCTTTTCTTGCATTCTCCTTCAAATTTTCTATTTGCCAAATCACTTAATTTAAAATCCTGTCTATATCACAGCCACCTATAGCTTCAAGATTCAAAAAGCATATTTTGTACTAAAATTAGATAAATTATGACCTTAAAATGATGTTGTTAAGATTTAATTGCTTTGAATTCATGTGTAGTGGAAAATTGAAAGAGGGCCATTTTGCTTTGTTTTTGGGAGAGACTCTTAACTCTTACAGAGCATTTCTTTACCTATGGTTATTGATCGCTATCAGAAAACTCTAGGTGGAGGGAGACTTGCACAATTTCAGAATCCCAACCTGCAGAAGTATTAATATTTATGCTGTGCTATGGAAACTAGGATAAGCTCTGGTAACAATAAACTCATGATATTTAATAATTATGGTACAGATGGCCTAGGTGTTGTTAAATGTTATACTACAATTGTAAGAGAGGCTAGACTGGCCACAAATATTTGTTAGGATATCTAGGTTTGGTGTGACAAAAAATGTTCAAACTAGTTTGCAAAACAGTTAGAATTTACCTGCTGTCATAGTTTCAACCATCAAATCTAGCACATTCTTTTTAGCCTCATCATACTCTGGCCACTCTTATCCCAGATCTACAATCCTCCTCTGATCATGATGAACTGTCCAAAGGCTTGTCCATAGCTATTCACAGGTCACCTACCATAGCTTGTCCACAGATCATATACCATAGCTTATCCACAGGCCACCTTCCTGAGTTTGTCCACATCCACCTACCAAGGCCTGCATGATACAATGGTTTACTGCTGTACTAACCAATGCAGTCTACAATATGAGAACATAAGAAAAGTTTGTAATTGTCTGCCCATCAGCTTTACATCTTGACAGTTATCATGCTAAAAGAGCAAGTCTAACTCTTACCATACTGATATCAAAGCATACAGTTTTCAACTAGTCTACATCTATACCAAAAAAAACATTTTGGATCATTTGTGCAGAATGTGGCTGTGCATAGTATCAGTTAATTATTTCAAAACTCCATGATATCCTTCAAGCTAAATCTTAGTGATGGCCAATCCAGCTGGAAGACATCATTCCCCTATGTTAAACTTGGAGACTGGAAACTGCAATTTACTGTGATTTTTTCCTTCCAGTAATTCTTAGACACATTTTCCTTGTGAGATAATTCAATGGAAAAACTGTCACTATGTTAGAGTCACACAACAGTCTACCAAACAGGACCCACATCAAAAAATGTTCACCTCTCAATCATCAAAAATATGTCTCTAACAATCAAGTTTACATCTAATCTGGTTTCTGATCATTGGACAATGTTCAATAACAGTGAATATTATTTAGTAAGTAACAGTGAGAGATGTGTTTTAACAGTGAATAATGTAGATTTAGATATATGAAAATTCACATATTTGCACTGCGGTGGAAAGATGAAATTAGAAGATCCTCGCAGCTAAGAACACTACTGAAACTAGTAGTTGTAAGTAGGACCTGAAAAAATTTCAGGCCCGTACGGGATTTGAACCCATGACCTCTGCGATACCAGTGCAGCGCTCTACCAATTGAGCTAACAAGTGAATGATGTCTTGAGACAATGAGTTACCTCTGCAGTCAGCGAAAGTTTACATGACAGTGAGTATCCTGTACCAGTGTGTAAAGTTTAGATTCAGTGAATGATGTTTGTGACCAAGTGACCCTTAGTATTGTAGTCTGAATACCTTTTAAGAGTAAATGATTCCAGGTACATGTAACAGTCTAAATTTAACTCTGGTAGCAATTGATTATGTCTAGTGATGATACGCGATGTTACTAACAGTCACTAATGTCTTTCAATTTGATAGTGGGTGATAGTTAGTAATAGGTGATTCAGAATTATTTGAAACACCTAATAATTTTAAGGAATATATAAGGAAATGTTCGAGATTGTTGGGAAGTCTTTGAAACACTTTGGTTACCCATACTATCTATTACTATTGGCCTATACTATTACTATCGGCCTATTTTTGTAAATTCAAGTCATAATTATATGAAAATGATACATCTCCGCTATTGTTTATTTTGGTCATTTAACTGTATGTATGATGAACGCACAGAAATCTTGCTTAGTTGGTAGGCATATGAATGTGTTTTTCTCCAGCTCAAAATTTAAGTGAATATTAATCTCTATTAATATGAATCTAGACATTGATAACTGAGAGGCCTGGACTGGGTACAGGCAGGGTGCAAATTTGTATTTTCCCTTTTCTTTAAGATTGAGCAAATTCGTTCAGCATATAAGTCATAAGACTTGGGTAGAGCCAATGGCTATTCACCATGCTAACGCATTTTAGTTGTGAAATTACTTAGTATTACTGCTTAGGTATCAATGCACTTGTTATTAGTAATCTAGCAAGCAAGCAAGCAACAAGTTTATTTCTAGCTTTAAGAAAGTTTTAGTTTCCCTCCCACCCACATCATCAACACTTTTGATTGTATCTTAATCTCATTCGTGTTTGTAATTTATTCTTAATTACTGGACTTTTGGTTCAGTTTATTCGTCAAATATCTTTTATGTAATAGTCAAGTGCGTTATTTATGTAGGATATATACATTTTATAAACTGTCTGGTCCCAAAACAAGCCTCTCTCTGTTGTGGTGTTAAGTTTCATTTACATTTCAGAATCATGATCAAGGGAAGCTTTATTAGGGTGAATGTGCGCATACACTTTAATTGTCAAAGCTGATGTTCTCCTTCCATCGACGTACCTTAAGTACATAACAGTGAATTAGGTAGAAGTTCAGACTGCTTAAAAAAGTAAGAATATCTTCATGACAACCTGTTTAAAAGGTACCTTACCTTTAGCATGTTGCATCAGTTTGGCTCTCCATCTTCTGTCTTTGCAGGCGCTGTGACCACTTTTGTTGCAAATAAACATCACAAGGCGAGAGAGGGCATCTTTTGAAGGCAATTCAGATCAAATATCCCACTTTTGTTCGGTAACTGGTGACAAAGTACGTAATCTTCGCTAAAAGCTATTCGTCTTTTCCGCCATGTTGCATTGTTTCTCGTTCCCAATTTCTCCCGGTCTTCTCGCATTGAAAAACAAGTCACGCGTGGGCGTCACGCGTGAGTTTCTATCGTTCGCGGGAAAACGCGGGAGATCTCGCCGGTACCTCGCACATCGAGTTTTTTGTTAGATAAGGGTGATATTCAGGTTTATCCATCCTATCAGAGAGCAGAATTTCTTAAGAGACAAGCCATAGTGGCGGCGCTCTCAAGCGCGGAGTGTTTTACCATAACTGGCTGAAACAAAGATCTGTTTCATCTCACTAAAAGCAAATGGACAAATCATGAGCATTTTTGGTCTCAGCTTGAGTTTTAAACTAATTGCTTACAAATTGATGTAAAAAAAAAAAGATACCAATGATACGGAAAAATGCAAACAAATTATTACATGTATAGTGAAGGAACCATGGGTGACATATTTATGGACTTTTTTCGATTCAAAATTCTCCAAATGATTTAAAATACCTTCCCCCAAAGGACTATTTTCAAAGGCTCATTTCCCGCAATCGAGAACGTCTTTCAAGAGAGGGGAGTAAAAACCGCACGTAGTCTTCAGTTGGCGAACACGGACCCTGTTCCAGACTGTCTCGGGCCTCATCCACGCTACTGCGTTTTCGTTCGTAAACGTATACGATTTGGTGCGTTTTTGCCTACCACGGCCGCACGAAAACGATCGAAAACTTGAATAAAAACGGAGATCTCTGGAGAGAAGCGCCTTTTTGAAACGCTCCGTTTCTTGTGTGGACAAACGATGATGGAAACTACTTCAATCACTATCGCTTTTATCTGCGCCTTCGGACCTTTTAGTGCAAACAATAGACGAAATTAAGACTCTTCCAAATGTATGCGCTACTGAAATGAAAAAAATGAAAGTGTGGATTAAGAGGGAAACTTAAAAGCTAGTGTGGGTGAAAATGTTTTCCTTCGTTGCGTCTCAGACGAAAACAGACACTTAGAAAACCCTTTAGTGTGGTCGCTCGGGGCCTTAGTTAGTGAAGAAGAGACGAAGAGTAAGTTAAGACCGTACAGAATAACTCAGCCTTGTCCTCTTCACGTGACCATAAGTAGGTTTTATAGTCAAGGTAGCCAATCAGTAGTGCATAACAGAGGGAGGGCAAAGGTCTTTAGAACTAATTGCTTAACGGCCTAATTTATTTGCATATTTTAAAACTGGACCGTTGTACAAAATAATATTTCAAGATAACCATCGCAAAAATTCGACACTTAAGAAGAGCTGCTTACGAAGATAATGTTGCTGTGTAAACAAATGAAGATCACAAATTCTATATGCCGCATTTTCTCTACAAGGAGAGAACATCTACGGAAATGTTCTTAAAGAGAACAAGTTACTTCTAATAAACAATGATGATTGTTTTTTTTGCTTCTTATAAGAAAACAAAGAGCACAAAAAGTTTCTGCGTCATTTTCTAAATATATAAATTGCAAATCTATAACATTCTACAATATTCTAAAAACTTACTGGCTATATCGACGCAGAACCGTGAACTATTTGTTTAGAATATTCTGGACACGTTCCTGCAGCAATATCCACATAAAAGGGCAATTCAAATTTCTTAACTGAGTTATCTACAAACAGTTTTCTGATTGTGTGATGTCGATTGCCGAAAGATTCAGTGAAGCCTTACAGTGGAAAAGTATTAGCAATATACATATTGAAATGTTTCGAGCCCTTCAATTGGGTCACTTTTCAGCAAGCTCCCTCTCAGAGCGATTTTGCAAAAAAAATCAGGTGCAATCTAAAAATCCTCGCTGATTTACTTATAACAGGCTTTCTGAACCTTTTTCGCCGATTGGCGACTGACTAAGTAAAGAAATATTCTGGAAAAGTACTTTTGTGATAAATTTGGGAATTTTTCGTGCTCTTGAAACCCTTACGTAACCATTTGCTCCCATGCAAAATGAGAATTTTCGATAAATTTTTAGGATACAACTTAACGATGATTTCTATATTTTAAATGCCGATAACTCCAATAGCGTAAGCATTTCTGCCTTGTGGTAACTCGATATGCTTCTCCCATCTGTTGAGTTCAAAATCAAAGGCATATGCGGTATTTTCACCACCATCAGCGCCAAATGCCACGAGCATGTTTTGCACAATTTTAGCCCGGCACAAAGAATATCCTACGGGTAACGGAGGGAAGTTTAGCCATACATGTCCCTCCAAATCAAACGCCTCAACTTCTAGCACATCGGATCCGCTCTTGTCGCAGCCACCAACCACAAAAAGCTTTCTTTTCCATGCCACAGCAGCACAGCCGTAGCGCTTTCGCTTCATTGGCGGTAGCTTTGTCCATTTTCCTTTCTCTCCGTCGAAAATTTCAGCTGAATTCTTAGCGCTGTTGAAGTAGAAGCCTGATCCACCTCCAACCACAAGCAGCTTCCGGTCGATGATTCCGCCACCAAAGTTGCAGCGGGGTTCCAGCATCTCTGGAAGTGTGAACCACTCTCTCTTCTTGACGTTGTAGAGCTCGACACTGCTTAGGACAGTACCTTGGTCGCAGCCTCCAGCTACGAGAATCCCGTGCTCTGTTCCTGTCGCATAACAACCCCATCGTCTTTTTCTCATTGGTTTAAGGATGCACCATTCCTTAGTAACCCAGTCGTACATCTGAACCGTGTTAAGGGCCTTCCATCCACCAAAACCGCCCGCAACCACAAGAGCAGGAATAGCTGTTACTTCCGTAGCATAACAAGCCGTTGTCTTCACCGGCAAAGGCGCAATTTCCCGCCATGTTCTTTCGGCACAATTGAAGACTCCAACAGCCGAAGAGGGCTCGCTTTCGTTGCCCTCGGTTGCTCCTCCAATGACGAATATATTTTCGCGCAATTCGATTATGTCATACTCTCGATCAAAGTCGGTTTCTTTCCCGGATCTGGTCTCTTCTCTTTCGGAAATGTCAACTTTAACTGCGGTGTCGTGGAGAAATTTCGTTTGGAATTTTTCCTTCAGTTCGCTCGGAAAAGCTAATACAGATTCAAGCTTCTCTCGCAGTTTTTCTCGCGCCTTGTCGAAGTTGAATTCATCATGTTTATCCTTCAGTTTCTTTTTGTCAAACGAATCAGTCTCGACGACGATCTGGGGTTCTTTAGTTTTAGACCAGATGGCGTCAGGTTTTGTCGTTGGAGCATCTTTCTTGAACGGGAATCCTTCTTCTTGCTTCTCATTAATATCTCCCTTTGGCAGAGATCGAAGCCATACTGAAGCGTCTCGCAATACATCAACTGCACGCTCCATGTTTACACATAACTTGCACTCACGTGTGTTTTTCCACTCAAACTCAGAGTTTTGTACTCGAGACAAAAACAATTTACTTTCAGACTCCAAATGAACCTGAATTCTGAACACACTGCGCAAAATTATCGATCTCTCGGGCTGCCCTTTATCGCCGGCTTCATCTACTTCAAACAAGTGAAATCACCCATAGGACGTGAATGTAAATTCTAGAAGGTTTCGTTCTCCTTCAGGTGTCAAGCACAAAGAAGCGATTTTCGTCTTAGGGTATTAATTGCATTGAAGCCTAGTTAAACGTCGCGAACTGGTAAACACAACCGAGCGGTGTGGAAAATTACTGCTGCCTGAGTAAAACGGATGTTTCAGTTTTTGAGTTGCTAAGTGATCTTTTACTTGTTAAACCTCGCAGCGTATTTGCATATCGAAAGACGCGTCTGTTCTTAAAATATCGGGGTGAAAATCATAACGCCGCCAATATTACGAATGAAACTGTCATCATTTCATTGAGATAAACTGAAACGAAGGTCAAGCGAGACTGCACTTCGTTTAGATAAAATTTTCGTGGCAACCAAAAAGTAACGATCCCTTTGAGTTAAAATTAATATTAATTACATCTGCATAATTTGCTCCGCCGGAGAAGTCATAAAATCAAGTTCACACTAATCAAAATGCGTTTTCTCCTGTCAATATCGATGCAGATAGAGGAAAACTAGAAAGCACCTGTTCGCTTGTTAGCAGTGAAACAGTTCTTTATTTTTTCCCAGGACAGGAAATAAATTTGACGGCATTATTTTCCAAGCGAAATAGATTAATTAGAATGACAATATCCTTTGGTTCCATGAATACGAACGTTCATAAAAATTCAAGCTGCCAATTTCTAAAATTTTTGACACTTGTCGCAAATGTTTTTTTTTTTTAATCAATGCTCCAACTTTTTCTAGAAAATTGAAAGAACAAAGGGACATCTAAAAGTTATCTTTACCCGCGTGCAATGAGTGATCTGGAAGAAAAAGGAATTACAGCGATCCCTTGCTCTTAAAAGAATTGGCTTTGTTACTCGCGTATTGTTATGCGTCAGGCGCTAATAACATTCAATCTCCAGAGATAGAGCTCCTAGCAAAATCGTTTAAGGTCGAAAGAACATTCACCAAATATTCAGCAACAAAAATTGCATTAATACTAATACGTTTTAGAGGGAAATTAAGAGGATATAAGCTCTACTTTCGCAGCCTTGTAATCGTGCGCTTTACAATAAAACGAAACTCAGTTTCGTGACAACGTTCTTCGCCCCACGAATTTCTGTTCACAAGGCACGGTAACTGACGAGCATGACGTGCTCTGACGCAGCAGATCGATAGATTGTAACCCAGCTCTAAAAGTATTTCAGTTGACAGATAATCTTGATTACGGGCAACTATTAAGAAACAATGGAGATGTAGTAAGCCGTTTGTTATTCAAGATCCCAACACGAGGCAATAGTGACGAAGAACTCAGAGGATTTTGCGTACTCGGCTCAGGCTTGCGTCCTAAAGTGACTGGGGGTGGGGTTGCACTCTGGTATAAGCTCCGTAGCCGTGTGCCACTACAAAGTGTATGACTTTGGTGCCGATTTTCCGAAAATGGTCATACATTTTGACCAGACTTAGGTGTCCATGAAGGCTTCCTATTGAGTATGGAGTATTTTCAAGGGAACACGCATGTCTTTTCTCTTCCTAATAACAGAGACAGAGTTGAAACTCCTTCACATAATTCGAGTTGTGTTTCTGGATGAATTGGGCAAATTCTTGTCTTTGGCATTGTTTACTCCACAAGATTTGGATAATAGTGTCCAGGTCTGAAAATAAGCGTGTTTATTGGCATTTTTTCGGTCCCGAACACGATCAGGATTTGTAAAACCGTGCAAGAAACCTTTAGCAAGAATTCCTGGGACTACCCTTTCCTCGTGAGGAAAGGGGGGGGGG